GTTTGACCAGTTTAAGGATTTGTAAGATCTTCCCACAGATTTTCACTGAAATAGAAAAGTAATGTGAGCTTCAGCTTTTCTTTTTTTTTGTATCTCCAAAAGTTGATTCTGTTCATCTGGACGTAGCAAGTGACTTCTTCAGTAACCTGCAGTCAGCTGAGACTGAAGAAGTCACTTGGATGAGTGACGAAACATTTCTCCCACAAACGCTACGTCCAGATGAACAGAATCAACTTTTGGAGATTGACTTACCTGGATGGTTGAGCATGCATCAAGATGTTCTTTTTTTTGTAGCTTATATTGAAGCCTAATGTCTGGTTCAGGTCATTATTTGGTTTCTTACTGTTCAACTTTAGTGGCTGTAAAACAACCTCAGTATTTTCCCTCTAAAGAACAAAAGTACAATATGTTCTTTCATCAAAAGCTGAATGATGTCTGGTTAGTGCATGTCTTTCTTAAAAGAAGTTCACATGTCATTTGGTGCACAGCCCCACCTTGTGGCAGTAGGAAAAGTACTTTTTAGGTAGTCCATGAACTATAAATGTATATGAACTGCAGTGTATCCTGTATCTGTGATTAATGGTCCTTTTATTAGAAAAAGACTGATTCAGGTACTAATGTGATACGTGGAATGCTAACTGACACTGATAAACCCATCAAGACTTTTAAATGTAATTAAATAAGCTTTAGTTGATAAAACTGCTGGTGGGGCTTTATTGTAGTTTTAATATGTTGATGTTGAAAAGAATCAGCTTGGTTGCAAGAGTTAAATAACTTTAACTGTGTTCAAATTAACTTCCATGTAGTCATTCATATTAACTATAGACTAGAGGACTTAATGAAAGCCTAAAAAGAAAAACCCCAAAAGCATTATATCCCAGATTTCAGGTCAGTCCTTTGCAGTAACCATTTTGGTAAGGACATACAAACAACAGCTCAGAGGAACAGTTCATAAACATTTCAAAGCCACAGTTTTAAATTCGCTTTCAGAAAGATTTCTGAAAGCTGAGCCCACGTCCTCATTTTAGGTTTGACAGCTTTTAGTTGGTAAAGGTGAACTGCTTGGACAAGAACTGAGCTGTCGCCTGATCATTGGGATTTAAATTTTAAATAAAATTGAATTGAATTGAATTGAAATATTTATATATTTCCGAAAACACATTGTAGTGACGTATACTGAACACAATAAATTATATAATGTAAACAACTACCTGAGAAAAAGCAGATAAATTAATTACAGGCATTTGCTTTTGTATCAATTATTGTATTGATGGAGGGAGTGATGTATGCTGGGTAATGGTACGGCTAGTGACTGGGTGACTTTATTCATACCCGCTTTGGATGTTATCAGGCCAGAAAATGCGCGTTATTAGCACAAATCTGTCCCATAGATATGTGCCATCTCCACCTGCTAATTTGTTCAGAAGGTTGTTATCATCCATCCAGATGGAGGATCACTAACAGGAGCGTGGGAAGACTCCAGAATCCACTCTGGCTGGAATCCGGTGAATACAGCAGTGTTTACAGGTAAGGCCATTTAAACGGACAGCATATGTCCATATAGAATGACTATTAAAAGTCAGCGAGTGTCAAAAATGTTAATGTGGTAACGTTTATGGTGTGAACATTCGATTATATTGTAGTAAAGCTGTTACTTTTTAAACCATGTTCGGACAGAAATATTAGCTTCTGTTATGGACTAATGAAGTTACTAGTTAATAAAGTTTCCAGTAAAGTGATTTATCGCTGCCACAGATTGACAGTAAATATCCCAATTAGCTTCATTGCATCAATGCATCAGTTTCAGTGCTTCATTTAAACTGTATGGCACTTATACTGACCCAGGGTCAGTGTAAAATACAATCCTAGCTGTCTGAACAAATTCTGGCTCTTTTAATCCTGCATGACAAACCGCAGGATGCAGGTTTATTGAGCCTCTTTCCTGCTGGCACTCCTGTCACACCTGAGAGTCAGCTACAAACTTACAGTAATGTGTACATCTTGCAAAGACTGCCAGACTCTGTTATACTGTAAATGATCAGTGACTCGGGTTAACACTAAACCTTAAACAGTACCTGTGTGTCTCTCTTTGTGCTCTGTGTCTAGAATCAGGATGAGTCAGGCTGCACATTGCTGGCATTGCGTCTTTCAACAGGTTTGTGGGTAGATTTGGATGCACCAGGGGTAAGTGCAGCCACTCAGCAGGTGCAGATGTGTGTCACAAGTTAATCTAGTAGTAGGCTATGGTTCTTGGCCACAGGTGGCAGCAGTGGACTCACCTCCATTGGAGACTGCTCCAGCTGCTATGTGATAGTCAGTAGATGGATTCCAAATTGAAGATCATATGCAAGTTTTGGAGACTGTTTATTACTAATCACTGTGTAACTGCTGTAAATTCACAGTAACTGCCATCTCCTTACAAATGTTTATTGGATTAATCACACTTATACAGACTGTATATAACTACCACCTCTAAAATGTTTGTTTGCAGAGAAAAGACACAGACAGACTATGCTTACAGGCTGTGATGTGACAACACTAAAGAAATATTGTGTCATTTTTGTTCAAGACGTTTTTCTTATGGGCAAAAATATTAAGATCATGATGAACAGGGGTGGTGATTCCTATGACTTTAATAATAATGGATTGGATT